ATGAATTAGAAAACAAACACTATTTCCCTCCTCAACAACATCCGTCCTAATTTTTGTACATAGTTTCAGTATTAGTTAAAAAATATTTTAATTATCTTTTATTCTGTAACTTTAGTTTTTGAAGTTGTATAGCTTTAGGTCTACCTGCTATCTTTAGTTCTAAATGATAGCATACTAGCTGTTCCTATTCTAAAATCTCATATTTTACCTATTTTAAATGGCTAGGCCTTTTTTATTAAGCTACTATTTTATTTTTTAAATAAATACAGGCTCACTGATTCTGTGTTCCCTAAGATCTTGCATATTGAGGGTAGGCCGTCTTTCTTCTGCCTTTATATATCAATAGTAACGTTCTTAGGTTATATTTTCTTCCCCTCTAAACCCTGTCATATTTTCCCATTGTCTTATAAAATTTAATATTGCAAAAAAAGATAGTTCGAGACCTAACTTTTTTTATCTTCCTTGTAGGTCATTCACATTTTCTAACTGGAAGTTTAGAATTTGCAAATGGATATAAGCTGGTAATGAGATTCTATATTTTTTATCTTGGAACCTAGTGTATCCTTTTGGTCTACTGGTTGATTTCATTATAGATATGCATACGTATATAATATATAGCATAGTAGTTAAAAGTTTAGCCTCTAGTCGTATTTTCTGTTCAACCATTTGTTAGCTGTCTAGCCCTAAGTTAATTACACTCTCTGGGTATGAGTTAATCATTTGTAAATTTATAACAATATAAGGTAATAATAGGGACTTATGTTATGACATAATATATGCAGTGTCTAAGCACATAGAAGGCATTCAAGAAGTATTTATTAGTGTGATACTGTAATTAATGTCAGATTTAAATACAATCATGTGTCACATAATGATTTTTCAGTCAACAATGGACAGTGTATAAGAATTATAATAGAGATTATAATAGAGCTGAAAAGTTCTACTGCCTAGTAATATAATCATTCTAATGTCTTAACGTAACACATTACTCATGTGTTTGTGGTGATACTGGTATGAACAAACCTACTGCCAGTTGTATAAAAAAGTATAGCATGTATAATTATGTACAGTACATAAAACGACGATAATAAGCGACTATGTTACTGCTTTATGTATTTACCATACTATACTTTTAACCATTATTTTAGAGTATATTCTTTCTACTTATTAAAAAAAGAAGTTTGCTGCAAAAGAGGATGCCATGTTATGCCAGCAGCAGCCTCATAAATCTCCTGTTTATTGCATCTCTTGATTGCATTATTTTCTTTTGTGCTTGATTTAGTCTTGTGTTGTTTTTTTGTACAATAACATGGTGTATAGGTTTGTAGCCTAGAAGCAATAGACTGTACCATATAGCCTAGCTGTGCAGATGGTACAGGCTGTACAATCTAGGTTTGTGTAAGTACAGTCTATGATGTTCTCACAGTGACAAAATCGCCTAACGATAGATTTCTCTGAATGTATCCCCCCTCCCGTTGTTGACGGGTACATGGCTGTACATATAATTTTTCTATTCCATTTTTTCCATTCTGTATTTCACTCACGTCATGGCTGTTCATGTTTAATCCACTGTACTTGTCCTTTACATTTATTATGTTTTCTCTAAATGGTTTTTATCTCTATATCTCTTTTCCTCTGCATTTGGCATGTTTTTCTACAGCCTGAACTTTGTGTTACTGCCCTGATTTTTTTGCCATACTGATTTTCTCTTTCTTACTATTTTATATGTAGTTATTAGTTTCTATAAAGATTGCTTTGCCTTCATTTTTGCCTTTTTAATTGCCTCTTGTTTCATCTCATTGTTGACATTTCATTTCATATTCTCTTTCAATTTTTGGTAAGAAAATAAAACTTTTGTTATGAAAAATTTTAATTTATCCTGAAGTACTTTTTTTTCCAATAAAAGAGTCATTATTTGTCTTTTGCATGCTGAATTCTGAGAGAGAGAGAGAGAGAGAGAGCGAGAGAGAGAGAGAGAGAGAGAGAGAGAGAGAGAGAGATTGACTGACACTCGTTGGTAGTTTTCCTGTACAGCTGCCATGCTGGTTCTTTGTTCAGATGCTTTATTTTGATGTGGACCTTTTTATAGGGTTTTCTCATTTGCTCAAATAGAGCTTGGGTAGATTTCCCTGGATTCTGCTTGTACCAATGCTGGCCCCGCTTATGCAGTTCTGCCTCACTGCAGAGCCTCAGTTTGAATTGGGTGCTGTTTGCTTTTGTTTTGTTCTTCTAGTGCTGTCTCACTGTCTATGCCTTTTGGACAGAGAGGAGAAAAATTGCACATGGGGTTTTGAATACTTCCATCTCCACTACTCTAGCACTTTTCACAACTGAACACAGACACCAGTTTTCTGTTTCTTTGTCATTTTAAGGGCTAGGTGGTGTGGGCATGTGTGTGTGTGAATGTGTGTGTGCGCGTGTGTGTACTGCCATGTTGTTCTCATATGGCACTAGCAGGTATGTAAACTACAGAACTTTTCTAGGGAACAAATCGGTAATATGTATCACCATTTTAAAGGCACATATTTTTAGACCCAGAAATTCCATTTTAAGAAATAGATTGAGTCAATAGTGTGCAAATACGTCAGCAATGGGAGGCTTATGTTAGAGATGTTTATAATGGCAAACCACTTAGAAACAATGACAACAGGTGCTCTTTACATAAATTATGGTACATCAATTCAATCAAATGCCTTGTAACTATGAGAAATGATAGTTATACTTAAAGATACAAAATAAGTGGAAAATAGCAGTATACACAATAGCAAAACACACTTATTTATGTAAAACTATGTCAGTAGTTGTGAATAAAAGCCAGTGTCAACAATAATTATATCTGGGTGTAGGGGTTTGGGTGGTTTTCACTGCCTTTTGTACATTTTTAAAAGTGATCATGAATTAGTTCTATAATTAGAAAAATAGTAATAGAGCTGAAAAAGGAAAAACTGAGAAAGACACACACTGCCTGTGAGCACCTCCTGAATAATGACAACTATTTATTGAGTGCTCTTTGTCTGAAACTGTGAATGGCCCTGAACAGTTATCTCATTTAATCCTCTCAGTAGCTCCATGAGGCAGAAATTAGTGTTTCACTTTTCAGTTGAGGAATTTGAAAGATGGAAAGGTTAAACATGTCTAATGTCACACAGCTCGTAAGAGATCATGTGCGAATGTGAGCCAAGTTCAGCCTGATTCTAAGCGGCACTGTCTTCCTGGTAGACCTTGCTGCCTCTGAGGATTGTCACATACACCTTGATGCTTTTATACGTTACAGGTTTAACAGCTCATTATTCACACTTTTGAATACCCATTCTTATTTCATACTTTAAATATGAATCTAAAAGAGAATTCAAGGGGCAGAATAAAGACATACCCAACAAAGAAAAGTATAAAAGCAGAAAACATTAAAATTCATATTTCATTGTAAATCATTGAGCATTCTCTAGAACGTGGTATCAGAGAGTATCATTAACTCTTTCAAGACATGAACTGAAAAATTTAATGCACAAAAAAGGCAAATTCTCTTTAAAATATCCTCATGATCTGAGGATTTTCCTGAATTTTCATGTAACTCTACCCAATAATTAGGCCAATCATGTAGTATACTTTCATTCTGCTTTTGAAAATTGCAACATTCTTCAACCGTTTTCATTATAAACCCAAACTCTGACTATCAAACATGTTTTCTTCCAAAGGATAAGCATTCTACCCAGAAAACTGCCCAATCAAATCAGTCTACTTAAATTTCAAAAAGAGTAGCTAGAATTAGAAACCAGAAACAGTAGCAATAATATAAATGAGGTTTTCTGAGGGAACAGACATAGTAGGGACTGGGTGTTTAGGGGATTAGGACTAAAATAGTGACTAACAAAAGCTCAAACATCTCTCCTCCTAAAATCTACTTAGTACCATTTATCAGACTGTTACTATATGTTACATAACAAGCAATGAAGTTAAAAAGCACTTAAAATATCAAAACAAAGTAGCAATTTGATAGGATCACCATTCTTGTCCCCTGACCCACAGGCAATAACAATGAAGTATCAAGGAATTTGGGGTCAGAGCAAGAAAATTAAGGAAAGAACATGAGACTTCAAAGATACAATATTGACAGATCATCTGGCATCAAGTCCTCATAAGAAAGATCACAAGAATTTAATATCATTCACTGCCTCACCAAGAAATAGAAATTAAAAACAAAACAAACAAAACAAAACAAAAAAAACAGGAGTTGAATAACTATGGGATGATAAGGCGGAATGGTGATGATTATCATCCCCCTCCTCCTCTCCCAATATGAAGGGCAATATGAATGACAATTTGCCAATTCAGAATTGCAAACATGGGGATTCAGAAAGTAAATTCTAAGTATTAGCCAAAATAGGCTTTCTTTGGAAAAGTTCGCCGAAGTCAAGAGTTTTGATCAGGAGCAATCTCAATTATTGCCTCTTGTCTATCAACAGTGCTACACCTGTCTAGATCACACTTATTTGCAAAATAAATAACAACAACGCAACAAGGACTTGATGCAAACATAACATTCCTAGACACAATAATTAAGGACAAAAAACAGGTCCCTGAATTCAGAGTCATCCAATAGAAGGAATGCACAATTCACCACCTATTCCATTAACCCAAAGAAACACAACAGGAAAACGGAGGCGTGCCAGAGAATGTAATGACACTGTCCTCTCAATACAAATGAAAAGGTATCTCAAGATATGACCCACTTGGTTTCTCTCTCTAGCACAACAATAATGACTGAATGGCACACTGAAGCTTAGCTTTATCACGGCTATATTTAAAAAAAAAAAAAAAAACAAAAAAACACCAGGAAAACCCCGTTAGGGTCTCACAAAAACATTTAACTTATCCAAAGTCTGTGGGTACGAGTCCACAGGTTATCTGCAAAGGCCCCATACATTATTTTAAAGGGAACAGCTAAACAAATTGGCTTGAACAGAAATACAAATAAATGGATTAAAAACTGGCTATCTAACCGTATACAGAGAGAAATCGTAATTGGTAGTCCGTCTAGTTGGGGAGAAGTTTCCAGTTGGGTCCCACAAGGATCGATATAGGGTCCCATTTTGTTTAATATCTTTATAAAAAATCTGGAAGACAAAGTAGAGAACGTGCTAATTAAGTCGACTGATGCCACTAGATCAGGATTAGTGGTTCAAGTAAATTGGACATAGATAAATGCTACTGGTCTTTAGAAAGACCGATGATCACAGAGAATAGAACTTCTGATTAGTTATCTTTTAAATGTATTATTTAAAAAAATGAATTCCAAGCACTAGAAATAAATAGATTTAAAAGATCTTAGTGGCTTTGCATAACAAAAGATTAGGCACAGTGGGTACATACAGAGATACAACACTCATAAATGTAGAATGAAGAAGGCCCCCAAATGGAGATCTTTTTGGTACAGCTTTATTTGGAAATCTGGTGGTTGTAGTTCACTCAATTATAAAAATATTGGAGTCATGTCAGATATGAAAGAATCAACGGGGTGGAAAAGCAGAAGTAACTAAATTCTCAAATGCATACATACTGAATTACTGGCAGAAAAATAAACAAGGAAACAACACAAAGCTTAAATGAAAAAAGGGAGAGCTGAAAACTTGGAGACATGAGCAAGAAAAGTGGGTGAAATTAATCAAAAACAAATTCTATAAACACACACACACACACACACACGTAGAAGAATGCAAGGGATAATAGGAAGGATTCTCCTAACACTAGGAAAGAGATTATATTTTTTTGAACTACTCCAGTAGACACTTGGGGGAAAAAAATCAGCAGACCTCTTGTTGATTTGAGGTTTGTTTAAAAAAATATTAGTATTTTACAACTTAATTTGTCATGTAAAAACAACTGCTAAATTGACACTGCTTGTCAGCCACATAGTCTCATGTGTAGACCGGTGGGTTTTTCAGGTGAAATGAGTATATAAACTAACGGGGAATCAGCTTTTTAATTTCATATTATTTTTTTTTTCACTTGCTAGCACACTGGATAAGGACTGGAAAATTCAGCTAAAGTCTCAGAAATTTTGTTAACTTTGCTATGCAACCTGGATATTTCACTTTCCTTAAGGGTCTGAGTTTCTGCATCAGTTAAATGACTGAATAGGAATTAAGAGTGGCAAATATTCTTGTTAAAATAAAAACTAATACAGAGAAGAAACTAACACAGAGAAGAGATGAGAAAAACGTGAGGCATGCCTGCTGTGGAAGTCAGCTGGACTCCTGCCCAGGTGGCCTTCGATCCCTCCCTGACCTCAAGGAAGGCCATGGCATAAAAATCACTTTACATGATCTGACTGTTGCTCCCATCTCTAGGAAACCATCAAAAGAAGGATAAAAAAGTCAATCCCTTCCCTCCGGACTGATTTTTCCAGAGCAGCCAACAATACTTCGTTGATTATATGTGCCCTGTCTTTGGGGGAGAGGGGACTTTAGAATTGCAATTGAAAAGAAGGGACCTTCCTGATAAAAAAGTGAGTGGCATTATTCATGATGCTGTCACAAAGGGAAGCACTGAGCCATCAGAACCCACTGTGCATCTACCCTAGCTTTTCCTGCCGGGTTAAAAAGGAACCCAGGTGAGTCTGGAATTTTAGAGGGTCACCTTTTTGTTTTAATCTAAACAAAATAGCTGTAAGTGTTCTGGCCTAAGGGATAGCTGATAAAAGCTTGAGGAAGTCCATTTGCTGTAGGTTTTTACAGCTAATACCTGTTGATAAATGGTTTCCTTGCTTTGACTTGAAAACCTTGGACCTGAAACATTCCTCTCTAGATAATTCTGTCTCTTCGGAATGGGGTTGCACAAGCAAGCATTGCCAGTAGGTCTGGAGGCTGTACAATTTATTTTAAAAAGTAATAACGTCTACTGTTTATAACACTTGAACACGTTATGAATATTGACCACGTACTAAGTGCTTACTATGTGCTGAGGACTGTTACCCTCTCTATACATTATCACAAACAATCTTCACAAAAACTTACGAGAAAGGAATTAACCAGATTTTACAGATGAGGAAACTGAAGGTCAGCAACGCTGATTTTTTTCTTTTTTTCTTTTTTTTTTTGCCTATCATCATACAGCTATTAACTAGAGGGTAAATCTTGAACTGACTCCAAAATATTCAGCAACACTGTGCTAAAGCATAGCTCCTCATGTCCACACGTTATGCTTGCTGATCAAAGAAAGTGGGTGGAGAAAAACACTTGCCTGAAGAAGAGTTTTAAGAATGGGTCAAACATCTTATTGTTTCTGGGCCTCAGTTTCTCGTGTTTAAAATCAGGGAAGCGGACTAGAGCGGTGCTTTTAGCTCAGTGATGTGGACGTTTGGACATGGGTCATTCATTGCTGTGGGGGCGGTCCTGTGCCTTGCAGGGTGTTCAGCAGCACCCCCGACCTCTACCCACTGGATGCCAGTAGCAGTCCCCTGCCCCCAGTTTTAACAACCCAAAATATCTAGACATTGCCAAAGATCCTCTGGGAGAAAATGTGCCTGCGTTTTGAGGACTGCTGTCCTAAAAGACGGCCAGGTATCTTTTTTGTTCTCTCACAGTCTAT